TTATTTTCTTCAAGAGAAAAGATCAAGAGGTGGGGTATTTGTATTACATTTGTCATAGAAAATAGCAAATAGTGAATATATTGAGAGTAATAAATACATCATTTTAAAATGTATGATGTGTGCAACACAGTTCCGTTTACAAATGTTCTCAAAGATGCGCCGTAATTTTGAACGGAACAGTGTTGAATACCATCATCAATTCTGTAAAGATGCATCTATCCGTATATCAACGTTAGCAACAGTATTTTTTGCGGGATTGTACAATATCGTGTTTTCTAGTGTTACCAGTTCCGTCAGATGGCGAATACCAATCGGAAACCATTCGGGAATTTCCGTCATAATTACTCCCGAATACTTAAACAGACTGACGGAAATACTCGAACAATTTCCGACAGGAAAATAATGACGTGTAATGGTTTTAACAATTATAACATTTTGGTTTGTAGATTTATCTAATGACTTTACAAAGGGAATGGAAATGTAACGCTATAATTCATACACGCATTACTTTTCTGTGTGGGTATATTTTCTTTGTATGTGTCCTACCACAGTGTTAGTTAGTGTCCTGGTTACATGTGTTCATTTAACACTGTGTATGTTCTAGGAACGAGCTCATGTGATTAAGTCATTATATGCTCCAACAAATTAGGACTTACATTTTTATAGATCATCTATCATTCAAGTAATTGAAAATAATTTTAAATATAATTGTTGACATTGAAGAACTGGGAATAAAAAAAATCTGGTCAGAAATGTATTCACATATGGAAGCACCTTAGCTTGTTTGGGGGAAAATAAGGCTGCTCTATCGCACCTCAAGTCGTTCGAGACGACTAGTGTTGGGCCCCGTAAAAGTCTTCGTTTTTCCCTGCTTATTGCAATACATCAAGTGTAACTCTAAAGATTTATTTGCTGAATTTGTGTGTGTAATCGAGAACAAAATATTTGATATATATTAAGGCGCCATAAATCATTTTCGAAAATATTTCGTAGTGCCAGATCTTCTAACGATACAGTATAGAGACTTTTATAATCATTTTAGTTACCTACCACCGATATATAGTCATAGCAAATATGTGTATATATCAAAATTTAACACTGAAATTTAAATTGATTTTTTGCAGCAAAAATCATGTTTATATTTATTGGTTGGTTAATACCTCAGCCTAGCTGAGCATTTAACTGTCAGAGTTATCTCCCCTATAACTTTCACTTTCTATCTCAAAATTCATGGTAAGAAAAATCATATTGTGTCAAAACAAATTTAAATCAAAATGTTTGTATCCAAATTTTTGCTATTTTTGAAATATGTTTTGTTATGGAACTACTGTATTTTAAATGAGGAAATATCCAATAGTTGCTGATGTGTGGCGTTGTTTAAGGGTGACCGCCATGCCGGAATTTGTCACTGGGTCCTTACATTTTGTTGTTAAACTTTATCGTTTGGGTTGTTTTATGTAACCTTTTACTATAATCATTGTTCACTAAATCTTGAAAATTCAAATATCTTCGTACATTTATGAGTTTGTCGTGTTCTCGACGACACATGGTGCAGCGATCTAGAGTGATCACACTTGTAAAAAGTGAAAGATATGACCACTTATATATGAAATATGATTGTAAACCTAGTGTCTGCATAATACGGTAATATATGCGAACCAGGTAAACCTTTGATACAACTTATAGTATATTTTTAGGTCGAGTAACTGCTCGAGTCTATTAGATTTCACACGGGTCTTTGTCTTAATTTTGTTAGAGTTGCCTCCCCTATTGTTCGCGATTTTCTATGTGGTTACTTTAGCTAATAGCTGTTTTTTTGTATCAGGCGTTTCAATAGTTATGTAGTACTTGAATATGTAGATATACGGCAATTTTGATGCTGCGAGTTATAATTTCTAAGATCTCGAATATTACATGCAATTAAATGAAAATAACTATGATCATAATGATACAGGTCTTGATGAGAGAGAGAGAGAGAGAGAGAGAGAGAGAGAGAGAGAGAGAGAGAGAGAGCCGAGGGCCGTGGCATCAGGATCACGCTTTAGGACGGAGGTACTTAGAATTTGCTGAAAGAAAAGAGTAAAGTCATCATTGACGCCGATTATCTGGTCTGATAATCAAATTGACTATTACAAATGTGTTTAAACGGGTTCAGGTCACCTATGTTCTTTTAGCTGAGTTGTAGGTCAAGAGTATGGGACACAATATGGTCTACTCGTTCCAAAGATATAAGTGTTTGGATTTTTTGGCAAAAAAGACATAGGTAACTTAAATAAGGATGATATTTATTATAGATAACGACTGAACTAGCAAAAATGTATACATAGACTGGCGGTAAGGGTTCGCACCTATGGTGTGAAAGCCCCCGTAGTGATACTTAACAAAAATATCACTGCTGTTAAGATATCAGATTCTCCAACCGAATATCCAACCACTTCTTAGACAGAACAGTCTCATTTATATTTAGAATGATCTTTACAGACGGATCCATACATGTCTAACTCCGCCAAATAACCGCGTACCATTGATTGCAGCGTTGACGCAAGAATAAAACAAAATTCCGGTGAGACAAATAAATGTTCTCTTAAATTATATGCATAGGAGATCTAGAAGTCGGGCAGGAATTCATGCATGAGGTGGACAGACCAAATACTGAAGTGGTATTTATTTAACCGTATTGTTAAGACATAGATCTTCTCTTCATTTTAATATAACATTTGTTGTGGAAACATACCCTACCAAGCAATAAAACGTTATTGATATACGAGTAACGTTATGCATTTCTCTTTTGACGAGTAACTATGTAATTGCTATGAGCAGTAATTAAGATATCAATGATTTGTAATGATGACTATATTTCACGTTCCATCAGCACAAACGTTTTAGTTCTTAAAAAAAAATGCTTTAATGTTGAAGCCTTTGAAATATATTTCTGACGACAGTTTTTTGCAATGAATTCTTCAAATAGAAGTACACAGCTTCGGTATTGAAGGCTACATATCATAACATCAGAACGTGACGTTTAATTTATGAAAAAACAAGCATCTGGCCAAGACACGTTGAAACTGTCACATATTCGGAAAGGGCCTAAATGATTCGGCGTAAACCGGTTTCGTCTAGTCTATCTGAATATTTGTTACAGAAATAGTAAGTATATATACAAATGTATGTGTGGGCATGCCTTACTTTAACCTATTTTGATTATCGCAACCGTTGATATGTGTTTCTCCATGTTAGTATGAATGTAATTAAAAAGAGGTATGCAGTGTCATTAGAACTAATGCTCTCGTTACGACAGCAGCAATACCGAAGACAGATGTCGATATCATGTCGTGGAAATGTCACTGCTGGTAAAACAGATATATCGTTGTATTATAAGCATATCCGGAGGCAATTGAAACCTTGTAGATGCCATTATAACGTTTGTGTCTATAGTAAGAAGCAAACACATTTAGGTAACTTCAGGCTGTTTCAGGAATATTGTTTGCATCGGCGGTCAACATACATGGCGTGCTTCATGGAAGATGTATGTTCCTAACTTCCGTTCATATATTATATATGTTATTGTATGAACTTTAAAAATATCAGTTATTCCCTAGAAAACTACACCGAGTATTAATTAAATTCAAAAGATAGGAGTTTTTAAATATACATATCATCACTGTTTGACACATGTAATACTGAAGTAGTTATAACTATAAACCTTCATGTTATACACTTAATATCTAGTTTTAGAAAGACTCTATTACTTTAAATTTCTTTGTCTTAAGATACAACATTACAAAAGACCTGCAATACAACGTTTATATTATATCCATTGTATAATACTGTTTAATAACGTCTGTATGATACAATGTATTTCATGTTTGGCTACTGTATCCATAACCAAATTCTAAAACGGCAGTGACGTGTGTTTGTCTGTGTTACGTCCATCCTACACGATACAATGTAGTAGACTCTACTGGGGATGTTTAAGTCCCTCAGTGTTGCTGTAACCTTGGTTACCGCAGTTACCTCTTTTGTGTAGTAGCACGGTTCATAATACACACACTTTACAGATTATGAATAAAATATCAACCGGTTTTTCTCTAAAAAAAACCCCATTCATATGAATGGATTTTACGCACCTACACTTCTGTTTCAATAGTAGTTTAGACAATTTCGATTGTCATCTGTTTTGGCCACAGCCTTACCGATTAGTGCTGATGCAGTTATTTACTGTATCTATTTCCTAATTTGAAAGATGTGTCACATACATGTACGTGAATATGTGTGTTATGATCATCTATCAACCTTGTGGTACTGTCTTTTTAATAGACTTAATACATTTAGATGAAATGAACTTTAAAAAATGATATTATTATATAATCAGTAATATCTGCAAGCTTGACTATCAAATAGTCTAAGTTTCATACTAAAGACTGTAGACTAGAGACAACACCATGACAAGGTTATTTACAAATGTGTTACATTTCCATTTCGATTTCAACAAATGTTATTGATAACCATGATCAATTGGATTGGACATCAGGCTTAAAGCCTATATTAAGCTCTTTCCATATTAAAATGCATTTTATTCAAATAATATGCGGTAGAAATGGAATATAAGTAATATATATTAAGATTAAGTTTCATATATTTTGACATTTGACTTTTTATACTTCTTTGTAATTTGATTTTAAAAAAATCAAATGTAATACATGCTTATATATACAAATGCAGCTGAGGGAAAAGTAACGAATCAACCCCCGAGTTTCTGACAGTACAGTCTATGGGTTCTTCCCAATCAGGAACTGATTGCACACAAAGATCCCAGCCACACATGTAAAAAGTGAATATTATTTCTTCAATGTTTACGCTAGACGAAATCCAAACAATATACAGGAAATGAGATTTTATAAGTATATCAACCAACTATGCTTCTCACAAGTCATCAGTGTTCATCAAGGTGCACCGCTCAATGTCCTTCATTGTATGTATATGGAGAGAATCGCTGTCATGCGTTTCTATAGAATATAACATGATACATAATTCCGAGGTATGCCTGTCCCTTAATCGTAAAACCAGTTATAACCGGTATTCTCTAGTTTCAGCAACCACAACGCATTAAATAACTATAAATGGGCACGCCTTGTTGTTATGTTAATATGCTACACGTATAGAATAAAACTGTATTGCATGATCAGATTGGTTTGTTATAATGTTACCTGTCATTCGACGCAAGTTCCGTCTGCCTTTGCTTTCACAGAGAATGTATATATGTCTATAGTTAACAGGAGTGTATATACATGAATGTAGGTGACAACGATAGCATCTATGTAAAACGCATTGTTTTTCTGTTCGTTTCCTCGATCTCTACAACATACTGTTATAATATATACCCGAATGAAAATTTGACATGACTTACATCGCTTGATATCGTAGAAAAAGTCATCGATTTTCAAAATTTTAAACAATGGCCATGGATGAGGTGAAACCATTACTGCACGTGAAGCCGAAGACGTACGCCCGCCGGTGGTGGGTCCTTATCTACGTCAGCTTAGCAAACATATTTACGACGGGCAGTTGGAATGCATGGGGACCGATAAGTCAGTCGGTAGAGTTTGGTTTTGGCTGGGACGACTCCATCATAGCGGACATCCTTAATGTTGGACGAATAGGGATGTTTGTCGGTATCATTCCTCTTAGTTATCTTGTTGATAAGAAAGGTAGGTACCTTTAACACTTCAAACGGTCTTTAATTACAGTTTTAATTACCACGAAAATAAATCAATATTACTAAAGTATTCCATGTATCATGGCCTTTATTCTACATGCAAATTGTTGTACCCTTCGTCATTTTTAAGATAAAAGTCTTGTTGGAATCTTAATCATGGACAATAATTGACCGGAAATATCGCGACATGTGTCAAATATGGTGTCGAATTGTTTCCCCATCTGGGATAATTTCATTATCTCGTTCCGTCTATTGCTTTGTCCTTTTATTACAGCCATAATAGAATGAAAACATCGAAGCTATTGCGAATAAAGGATGTAACTGTTGAATGATAATTATTATTTTTCAAACAGTGTCATAAAATACAGTGTAAACATAGCATATAATATAATGTACCTCGTCTAAAACAAAACTAAAATAACTTAGATTTTCATATAACACTTTTTGTTGTCTACAGGGATCCGCCTTGCTATGATAATAAGCAATGTTATCTTACTGATGGGATATGTGCTACGCTGTCTAATCGATCAAACAACTTCCATTTGGTATGTGCCTTGTAACATCACTTTAGTCTGTCACGATAGGAAGTCCCAGAATGATCAACGCATTTACGATATAAATGTTCAATATTCAGTTACATAGTTTTGTAGTCTTGGTAGGCGGTTGGAGCTTACGTACATTTTTCAAATCTACTTATGTTTGCTTTCGGACCTTTTGGTACTATAACCTACATGTAGTTCATATCTGTCAAGACTGACACTATTTCTACTGTAGCAAGCGGTGTGCATGCATTAATAGTACGACCTATTTTGTTTTACCTTGGTCGGATGTGATAATCTCGCCTTGCGACGTGGCCTCATTAATTATATCTACTATTTTGTATCTATTAAGACTGGCGATACAGTTGTTCTAATTGTACGATTTTGTAATTACATAGGCCTGCGATGCTGGGACAGGTAATAGTCGGTGGTGCCAATGGGATAGGATACTGTGGACCGTCTGCTATGTCGGTCGCGTGGTTCCCACCAAACGAGCGTGCCACTGCCACATCTATAGCAGTTATGAGTACATATATTGGTCTCGGGATCGCCTATATCATCAGTATGTAGATCGCTTTACCCAAAACAGAAATGTTGATCATTTCGATAACGACAATAGAAAAGTGAGAAACTAGATTTTTCTCAAAAGGAACGGTCAACACCAAAATGCATTTTATGTATTTCATGTTTGTCAGACAACAACTCAAAACATTTTGATTTCTTGTATGACTTATTTGTTACTTTTGAAGGTCTCTTTCGAGACTGCAATGTCGGAGCTACTTCTCGTGGTTTCTACACAGAACCTTTACATTCCTTTTATATACTAATTTGCACAGTTTTGATTCGTAAATAAATGTCGTTATCCTTCTTCACAGATCCTCTGTTGGTGTCAACACCTTTATTTGATGAGGTAGAGTTCTCGTACCGAAAACTGAACCAAAGGTATGCTATATGCATTTTACAGTCTTATGTTGATAATGCAGTGAAACAAAACATTTTTAAACGACAACAAAGCTATATTTGGTGAGATCATAGTTTCTCTTTTAGTCATCATGACGATAAATGTCACCTAAAAACAACCAAACGGTTATCTGTGCTTTGTTATGATATAATATAAATCCTTATATTTATAGAAGCAAAAATATCAAACCGTCAAACACTTAAGAACATACCAAATTCCTTCTATCTACTGATTTAATGAAATCAAATCGATAATCGATAATCATTACTTCATGTTCAATTCAACCATTTGCTTAAACGCGAAACATCAAGGGCAAAGGTTACCTTTGTGTGCCGACATTTGAATAGTGTTAAACAAAAAACAAATGCTAAGTAAATAAGATCAACAAATATGGTTGTAATCCTGTCTCACTGATTTCTACTTATTCTTGTGCAAACCAGATGAAACTCATTGCAGTGTTAAAGGGAACACTCCTTCCGATATCTGACTAACCCTGGTAAATGTGAATTGAATAACAAAACGATGAAATCATATTATTCAATAGATAAATGAACCCTTGTTCAAAAACATTGAAATATAACTCTTATATGTTATAATTGGCGATTTAGAAAAAAGGTCTATTTAACCACGAATTCGTTTTTTGGCTAAGTACCGTCTCTATTGAACGGATTTATAAATGCTTTCTGTAATTATCTGAAACAATGAATAGTCAGTTTTATGATTATCTGAATTACAGTGAACTCGCGAACTATACCGATCATGACCTTAGTCTTGCCGCTAACTCGACCAGTGTTAGTATGGCTAATGTTGGTATGTATCCGTGATGATTTGACATGACAATACATTCTGTCATTAAATATATTATATTTGTATTATGATTGCTTACAAATTGTTAAGTATATCTGCTACATTGTACATTATTATGTAATTACAAAATCAATCATTATATATCCCTGTTGGAAGTCATATTTTATCTCATAAACATTTTATACAGCGTTCCTCTGAAGTACATTGACAACTAATGTCTTATTTGTTTTGTTCTAAAACGAGTTATTCTAGATGAAAAGAACAATATCAGCACTTCAATACAGTGGATAGAGCCGATCCTATTTGGAGGATGTATTAATGAATCAGTGTAATTGTACTATGCAGAATATTAATGTATCAGTCAAATGTTTTTTTTTTAAAAAGACTTCACTTTTTCTTTATTTATGTGAAACGATGTGAAAATACATTGCTGTTTTATTTAATTTGATTTTGTTGTTTATTTCAGTTTTGAACAAAGACATTATTCAAGATGAAACAATGACCTTAATGTACATAGGTAATAATTAAAAACAGTATGTGTAAATTATACTTGTGCGTGTAAGTAAATATTTAGTAAAAGAACACAGTCGGAATTATTTAATTCATTTTTTCCTCAGATGATTAAAACGCAATATTAAATACAAAAGGATGCCTATAATTGTTTTGTATGTGAACAAAACATGTTGGATATATAAGGAATAATAGCATGTACATACATAGCGTTTAATAACCTTTTTTAGCATGTGTTCTTCATGCTCCATGACAATTTCAACCGTCTGATTAAGGGATTGATAAGGTACGTGAATGACATTGTAATAAGATTTAAGTTATGCCATGAACTTTGGTTTTATAACGTTGAAATGTAGTGCATTGCATTCAAGTATTATTACATAAAAATGGCTATACAAAGGTTATTATTATTACAGAGATCCTTGCAGAAAACATTCTGAGCTGACTTTATCTGCATATGACCGCATGTTTGTTTACAGAGACAGGGATTGCAGCTGCATTTGTGATAGTAGCCGTGGCTCTAGTCCCAGACGCACCGCCTACGCCACCTTCCCATAGTGCCAATGCAATCAGGATGGAATACACAAAAGTATTTCTACACATCATAAGGTATAGTGTACACAAAACAACAGTTGTATAAAGTATTGATATGTTCTAATTACCCAGATCACTAATGACTCCCCATTTTGAATGCCTCTCGCGATCTGTCGCTATCTGTTATGTGTTCCTCGCACAGGGGTTTCACATTAATCCATTTCTACTTCTTTCATACATTGTTACATCTTTCTTATTTTTTATATATATGCATAACATTATAAATTTTCCACAACGCATGAATTGATTTGGAGGTTAGAAAATAGTATATAAATATATATATATATATATGAAAAAATATATAAAAGTGCGTAATAATAGTTGAAATATAAGCAATGAAATATTCTTTTATATTCTTTCATTCCCCATGCTTCTATTTGTGCTGGCACTATCTATTTCATGGACTAACACAATATTAATTAATTGATCGAAACACCTAACAAGTTAATTCATTCAACTGCCTTCTCTTCACTCAAAGATTAGTAAAGCGTCATTCATTCGTTCGCTCATTCGTTCAGAAGAAAATAAACACAAATCTTTGTGAAATCCAGGTTGCTAGTTAACAAAAGAAGACTGATGTATTATTTCTAGAGAGGATTATTTCACATCAAAATCAATCAATTTGAAGAAGGGTACTTTCACTAGGGCACTTATAGCAGTTACAAATAAGGAAAATGCTATTTTTTTTCTTGGAAATAAAATATTCGAAAACAAAGACTTCTCAATTTCTAAAACAATTATTTGATTGTTTTTCTGCTGTGTTTTAATTAAGGAGTGGATATTTGTCACTCCTCCTGCTGTTTACCGGTGTGATGATTGGTATGTACGCCACGTGGGTAACCATATTTGGGATAACGTTCGAACACCTCGATATCACCCAGGTAATCTACCTCTCTATACTAAACTATCGGGACTATTTTCATTGCAATTAGCATTAACTTATACAAGAAATACTTACAGTTCCCGAAGTATTTATCTTGATCTAAATGTTGGTTCTGTATGCTGATGTTATTAACAATGTTTTAAGTCTTTTTGTATTAACTTCGGTAAGACAGATACATTGTAAGACATGCAAACATTGTATGCTTACACCAATTAAAACTGTTCAATGATTTTGATATACAGTTGTATGTGATTAGTCAGTATCATCTCATACAACGTTATGTAATTGTTCAGTTTATCTGAAGTTTCCAATACAAAGACAATTTCTTTTAGAAGAAGTACGTTTCCACAAACGTGTGGTAAAATCAGACGTCTTTATGGGGAACAAACAAAAAGGCGTCGTGCGCATGGATATTCATAGAAAGTGTTTTTCTCCTGCCCACACAACTTCAACAACCCAGGTGGAATATGCATTGGTCTGCGGTGGATGTTACGGTATCTGTGCTGTAGCATTAAATTGAGGTGACACTATAACTGATGCCGTTTAAAGCACGGTCCAACTTCAAACAGAACAATTACGTATCAAGCACACACGCAGGCATACACACATAGGGATATATTAACAAGGTGGCATAGGACTAGTAGTTAACGCCTAATACATTTAAGGCAGCTCCTTCAAATTCCTCAAAAACAAATCAATATTGATTAATGTATATGTACTGTGAATCGCTTTAGAGTGGCTGGTGTTAGCTACTTTGGAGGTAGGGCACAGGGCGCTTTATCAGTTGTTGCATATTATCATTATTATCGCACAGGTATAGGTGAATCCCCTTGGGCATGCATTTTATGTGTATTAGACTAGGAAAAATAAAGATGATGCAGGAAAGTACGATTGTCAGTTGTGCTTCAATAAAATTTATCACTAGTCAATATAAACAATCAGTTATTTTTTGTGTTAATGGATGTACCAAGCCTTAATGTAATTTTGTTATACAAAGGACGAGGCTGGGTGGCTAGGGTTCGGAAGCCTCATAGCAAGCAGTGTAGTGGGATTTATTTCTGCAAGGTAAGATTTTTTCATTCCTATGTCTAATGAGATGAATACACACAAAACTATTTTCCAGTTGATTAATATGTTTATTTTAATGATTTCACGTGTGATCCCCGTCTTCAGCAGTAATACCCATATGCCACAGATATTACTTAGAAAGCCTACTATTTGATATTGAAAATAACGATAATCTTAGTATATATATATACAAGAGACCTTTACAAATCAATATTTATTAATGATATACCCTGGTATCATATAAGTTTCAATGAAGAACTTTGCCAGTTTAGGGCTTTTTGTGTCAAATACGTACTTTTGCATTCTTATAATTCATTCAGGTTTTCTGACGTCTGCGCTTCGAAGTTGAAGACAATCCTGATGGTGATGTTGGTTATTTCAAGTCTGATGTTCCTGTGGGTTTCCTTGTTGTGTAGCCAGTATATTGAATATAGTAGAGGTACTGTGATACCAGACAAGTAACGTATCTCACTCGGTATCCCATATCCATACGGCATACGTAACACTTGTCCAATATAAAGAGGAGATAACTTTTAGAAATTCCTATTGGCTGTAATTAATGTTAAACGATATATTTATGTTGCAAGTGTGTAGTTGTACTTATCAAATTCTATCTATCGGCATGTATCGCACTGAAATCAGTGATTCGTTTAGGGTACGAGCTCTGGATCAAATGTTGTAAGTATTTCATTCTTAAATCAGATTCAGAAACGATTGCCAAAATATGCCTTGACATGCCAACATTCAGTGCCCAATATACTATGAGTCATATATTTACTATTCATATTATGACAAACACATAAACATTATAGACACAATAAATTAAGCTGTATTGAAACTAGACATTTCAACAATTATCGGAGCGCAGGATTTGACATAAGTAACACATTAGCGTAAATATCAAATGATTATTTGAGAAAAAAAATCATCAGTACGTGTTGATCAAGGAAAGTAAACGAAAGTCAAGGATACCCATCGAAGTTTTAATGACGTCACGTGATTGCATGTTACATATAATAATTGAATCTCGTTTATTTAAGTGAATCCAACAATTAATGTTGTTAAAATTATGGAAGAGTGTCCATTGGAAAACCTTAACGTATCAACATGTTTTTTTAATTCTGAAGTTTATCGATTTATGATAGAAGAATACTCTTTATATTTACCGAGAACTATGTTTTCAGAACAACTGTACGTGTCGACTATCCTGGGCTGTGCTTTCCTTAACGGCTGTGTGCCATTACTGTATGAACAGATATGCAACGCCGCCTTCCCTATCCCAGAAGGAATCATTGTTGGAATATCTGCCCTTGTAACAATGTTGGCCGGCATCTTTTATTTGTTACCTCTATCCATCATCGAGTTTGAAGGTAATTAAACTGATACCTTTAGGAACATGTGTCATCTAATGCAGAAACAGGTCTTCTCGACATTATGTTTGTAAAATGATAACTTGGGATAATTGTTTTGTTCACTTTCTTACCAAAAATATGCCACTAACGCCTTTTAACGATATTTTTCTTTAACATTACGTGTAGATATATATGATATAAAAAGCATGTTGTTGATATAAATGTGTATATAGTGAAAAATGAGTGAATGAGTGAACTGAGACGTGACATATGTGATAAAGGTTATGGAAGAGAATGATTCGTCTGTAATAGTTTCAGTGTATCAAACACGATGATAGTCCTAAGACATACGGTTTTTAATCAAAGAAAGCGTTTCGTATGATCAAACTGATATGGACATTTTCTTCGTTTCGTACTTTCGAATAAATGTATTCAATTTAACGATATTCTGTTTCAATATCCATATTTCTTATTTCAGATAATACGTGGCTGGAGTGGTCAATACTAGTTGTGTGTGTGGTCGGTTGTATTGTTATTCTAATAACCCCCCAGAGGAACGGGCGGGCAGACCTGGAAGTGTCCGTCCGTGTCACTAAAACCACTTATTATGAAAGACTCGGATCAGAACATGAAGACCTACATGTGTCAGAGAAGACAGTTCCGGAAAACGCATGAGATATGTCAACGTAATTTATTAAATATCGAGATGACAATTTTGAACTGGTAATAAGAAAATAAAGTAATAAAGGCGAAGTTCTAACCTTCATCCAGGCTCGACTTGAAAGAAGTGTCTGCATTTCTCATTTATAATCGTACGCTGATACACCTAATTTTATGCTTTTTCATATGCAATATAGTCATGCATATTATTTGCTTTTGCGTGGAATTTACATTGTATTTTACCCATGTTAATAGTGTATGTCATTACTTGTCAATTGCTCCTCATATATATGTAGAAAATGTTTTCTTTTCATTTTTTGAAAATAAAGTTCAATACAAAGTTTGTGCTGTGTTTTATATATTGTTAATATTTCTAACCACGATTGAAACACTCATGAAAAAAAGCGTATCGATAAAAGGTTGCCATCCTTTCCTCTCGAAATAATTTTCTCAAAATACGTTCTAACATCTTATCAAAAGTAGAGTGTCAGTACTATTTGTCGGCATACAAACTCGTATTCAAATAAACAGATGTCTTCCACAACCACCAGAGATTAACTCACGTACCACTCATTTGATAACCTGCCAGGGGGTCACATCCTGCATGTGATTGCATGTCACATTTATATCTCTAAACTTGCTTCTTTCTACATTCTTCAATGAGTTTAAATATATATTACAGAACCGAGTGCTTATCACCGTACACATAGCACTCCAGAATCTGACATGCAACCATATACCATAAACCATTATTGACCCTGACAGGCATATCAATGAATAAACAGTGTGGAATAACCCATCTTCAAACTTCCAGGGTTATGCGCTATCTGACATTCTATGAACTCCTGGGATAACACATCCAAGGCTTTGTATGAGCCACCTTGTGGATGATACAAGTAGAACAGGTTTATCTTTTGACGAACATCGAACGAACAACATGGCATCATATTGGTAAAATTAAACAGCCTTGGGTGTTTTCCTATGTAATCTTAAAAAGGACATGCACAAGTATCAGACAAGTGATTTGTCTCTTTATTTTTTTTACCCGAAACCAATCAAAAAGCTTACCGCTTGTCTTCGATTGTATCGTGACACATTGCAGGGCTGCAAAGGACAATGTGAGTGTAACGCATGGAGTTTCACGTTTTTAATTATAACTCCAGGTAACAAAGATTTGTGAAGGCATTATACGTTCTGACGTAATATTGTTTCCCTATCGGAAAAACACATCAACGTATTCATTGTAAGGGAAACGTGCGGTTTCCAGATAAAATATGAACGTTATGTGACAAAAACTGGCCCCAAACTCCTTATGGCTGGTCAAAATGTATTATGTTTACTTAACCCTCATAGGTACATTTTCAAATTGTAAACGACACCCTCGTCTAAAAGACACACTCGTCTAAAAGCAATTTGAAAACTAATTGGAGTCAAATAACCATAATAATCAACCGTCAATCGATTTGGTAAATTAAAGACAGTTGACGATGCTTTGAAATGCCTCTTGTTTATATAATTCCTATCACGGGTCCATGCGAATAAATTGATATCGCTCGACTGAATTAAGGAAGTTCAATTATCCATTCAATAATCCGATTGTTAAAGAAAGTATTATGTCGTTGGTAACTCATTGCCTTTCCTGAAAGATAACTGGTGAATTTATTGAACGAGCACACATGGTGTAATAATTCAGGGTAGATTTTACCATTTCGAGGAATTAAATGTAAAACTCTCTTAAAATGAAAGAAGTGAGCCAGAAAATTTCAATAATTTTATAGCAAAATGGAACGTAATACTATTAAATTTAAATAGTTCTATATGCATCAATTTTTCATAGATATACCTATTTGCGTACAAATTGTTTGGGCAGAGTATTAACCCGATGTGGATGACGGGCATGGTCGCCATTAGATGGACAGCTCTATAGCACTCTCTTCAATTCAACAGCCCACCTGTCGGTCACTCCACGGTGTTACCCAAATCCTAAGATTTGACCTCAAATGTACTTTTGACCAAAGTGTTGCTCTCTATCTTACATGTAAGAGGTGGTTCCATTCTTTATCATTAATTGTCTAATATCAGCCTATTTTGTTACAGCGACTTTGCGTGTAATATGGACTTAAACTACTTTTTTTCTATGAGATTAAAATATTCTAAAACTGGTAAAAAATATTCTATGAACTGCTTTTATTTGACCCATCAAGTACAAATATAAATTAAGGAATGACCCCTTTTCCTAAAACGAATACAAATTTCTCTACGTTTACTATAGTTCATGTTATAAACGTGACCTTCAAGGAAGAGACACAGACAAGTTATTTCAAAGCACATCCAAGAAAGCGTTTTTATTGGATTAGAGAAAAGAGGGATACGTCACAATCAGCTAATATCCTGAAAGAGAGACTATCATTTCACTGCAAACCAGATATCCTGGATACTCGTTGGCTACGAATGGGTCAGCAACTAATTGTGTAATATGTATTTCATATCCTCGAGGAATTTTCAAACCGGGATTTATCGTTTACAACAATACGAAAAAGTGACCAGTTCTGGCCCGCATTTCTAGTTTCTGCAAGACAGCAACTTTAGTTTGGTCAAAATGTTTAAAGCAGACTGGAAGAATTTGTGTCTAAGTTTAGCTCTGAAGTAAATATATATTTTTTGTGTACCATAGGCTCTGAATCAGAGTTGTGTTTTAGTCTATATTACTAATTGTACCACCTGTTGTCCAATACATAGTTGGACTAAATGGGTAACAAGTATTCCCTACGGTTAATCAATGAATAAAGACACATTTCAATACACCAAAGGAGGATTTACATGGGCTTACGGTCAAAGTATTATCTGGGCATTGTATTAAATCGAAGACACAATAATTATAAAATTCACATAACTGATATATGTTTGTACACATAAAGTAATAATTTGATTATCTTGTTCAATAACACCTCCAGAAGCAGAATAGGATTATATAGTTCCTAATGATACCCCTGAAATGGGTACCCCCGTTTTAAATATTGTACATTTTACTGTCGACCACTTGTTAGAAGAGTCTTTGACTCAAAGTGTTATCGACCTGAAATAAAGTATTTTATTATTATTTTTATTATTATTATTATAAATATCTCGCACATGAAATAGTCGATATTAGATCTGCCCTATATATTATGCTATTGACTTTTCTTTCCAATTAATTCTTACCTTATCATAATATTTTTTTTACTGAGTGGGTGATCAGGAGTCATTGTATGGGTGATCAGTGACCTTCATACTAAACTACATCAGAATTGTAAGCATCTTTGTAAACCACGAACAAAATATCAACTATTGTACTTTTTTTCTATAAAATGTTTTCAACAACTGTTCTCTTGAGTGAAATAAATAAATTATAAATCCCTGTCCAACTGTAGCCAAAACACCTACAGAACTCCATTTTGATTTTCCATATATACACTAACCTACCATTGATTTCGTTTTTGATAATATTTTAACTCAATTCATTGCCAAGGACATTTCTTTTGACCAGGTAGTTTAGGAACATGTAGTTAGAGCGACCGTATACCAATCTGAGGCCCAGGGATTAAATTATTGTCTGGTCCCACTAAATACCAATCTGAGGTCCAGGAATTAAATGATTGTCTGGTCCCGCTAAATACCAATTTGTGGTAATGCGTTTGATTCCTTGTCTGGTCCCACTTAATACCAATCTGAGGTCCAGGGTTTAAATCCTTGTCTGGTCCCACTAAATACCAATCTGAGGTCCAGGGTTTAAATTATTGTCTGGTCCCACTTAATACCAATTTGTGGTAAAGGGTTTAAATCCTTGTCTGTTCCCGCTAAATACCAATTTGTGGTAAAGGGTTTAAATTCTTGTCTGGTCCCGCTAAATACCAATTTGTGGTAAAGTGTTTAAATCCTTGTCTGGTCCCGCTAAATACCAATTTGTGGTAAAGGGTTTCAATCCTTGTCTGGTACCACTTAATACCAATCTGAGGTCCAGGGTTTAAATCCTTGTCTGGTCCCACTAAATACCAATCTGAGGTCCAGGGTTTAAATTATTGTCTGGTCCCACTAAATACCAATCGGAGGTCCAGGGTTTAAATTATTGTCTGGTCCCACTTTATACCAATCTGAGGTCCAGGGTTAAAATCCTTGTCTGGTCCCGCTAAATACCAATTTGTGGTAAAGGGTTTAAATCCTTGTCTGTTACCACTTAATACCAATCTGAGGTCCAGGGTTTAAATTCTTGTCTGGTCCCACTAAATACCAATTTGTGGTACAGGGTTTAAATTCTTGTCTGGTCCCGCTAAATACCAATCTGAGGTCCAGGATTTAAATTCTTTCTGGTCCCACTTAATACCAATCTGAGGTCCAGGGTTTAAATTATTGTCTGGACCCGCTAAATACCAATCTGAAGTCCAGGGTTTAAATCCTTGTCTGGTCCAACAAAATACCAATTTGTGGTACAGGGTTTAAAATCTTGTCTGGTCCCACTTAGTACCAATTTGAGGTCCAGGGTTTAAATTCTTGTCTGGTCCCACTAAATACCAATCTGAGGTCCAGGGTTTAAATTATTGTCTGGTCCCACTAAATACCAATTTGTGGTTGAGGGATTGAATTCTTGTCTGGTCCCACCAAATACAAATCTGAGGTCCAGGGTTTAAATTCTTGTCTGGTCCCACTAAATACCAATTTGAGGTCCAGGGGTTAAATCCTTGTCTGGTCCCGCTAAGTACCAATCTGAGGTCCAAGGTTTAAATTCTTGTCTGGTCCCACTAAATACCAATTTGAGGTCCAGGGGTTAAGACCTTGTTTGGTCCCGCTAAATACCAATCTGAGGTCCAGGGTTTAAATTCTTGTCTGGTCCCACTAAATACCAATTTGTGGTAAAGGGTTTAAATTCTTGTCCGGCCCCACCAAACACCAATCTGAGGTCCAGGGTTTAGATTCTTGTCTGGTCCCACTAAATACCAAATTTTGGTAAAGGGTTTAAATTCTTGTCTGGTCCCACTAGATACCATCCTGAGGTCCAGGGTTTAAATTCTTTCTGGTCTCACTAAATACTTATATGAGGTCCAGGGTTTAAATTCTTGTCTGGTCCAACTAAATACCAATCTGAGTGATGTCCGGGGTTTAAATTCTTGTTTGGTCCCACTAAATACCAATTTGTGGTACAGGGTTTAAATTCTTGTCTGGTTCTACTTAATACCAATCTGAGGTCAAGGGTTTAAATTCTTGTCTGGACCCGCTAATTACCAATCTGAGGTCCAGGGTTTAAACTTGTCTGGTCCAACAAAATACCAATTTGTGGTACAGGGTTTAAATTCTTGTCTGGTCCCACTAAATACCAATTTGAGGTCCAGGGTTTAAATCCTTGTCTGGTCCCATTAAATACCAATCTGAGGTCCAGGGTTTAAATTATTGTCTGGTCCCACTAAATACCAATTTGTGGTAAAGTGTTTAAATCCTTGTCTGGTCCCGCTAAATACAAATCTGAGGTCCTCGGTTTAAATTCTTGTCTGGTCCTACTAAATACAAATTTGAGGTCCAGGGTGTAAATCCTTGTCTTGTCCCGCTTAATACCAATCTGAGGTCCAGGGTTTAAATTCTTGTCTGGTCCCACTAAATACCAATTTGTGGTTAAGGGTTTAAATTCTTGTACGGCCCCACCAAATACCAATCTGAAGTCCAAGATTTCAATTCTTTCTGGTCCCACTAAATACCAATCTGAGGGCCAGGGTTTAAATTATTGTTTAGTCCCACTAAATATCAATCTGAGTTCCAGGGTTTAGATTATTGTCTGGTCCCACTAAATACCAAATTGTGGTAAAGAGTTTAAATTCTTGTCTGGTCCCACTAGATACCAATATGAGGTCCAGGGTTTAAATTCTTTCTGGTCACTCTAAATACCAATTTGAGGTCCAGGGTTTAAATTATTGTTTGGTCCCACTAAATACCAATTTGTGGTACAGGGTTTGAATTCTTGTCTGGACCCGCTTAATACCAATCTGAGGTCCAGGGTTTAAATCCTTGTCTGGTCCAACAAAATACCAATTTGTGGTACAGGGTTTAAATTCTTGTCTGGTCCCACTAAATACCAATTTGAGGTCCAGGGTTTAAATCCTTTTCTGGTCCCACTTAATATCAATCTGAGGTCAAGAGTTTAAATTATTGTCTGGTCCCACTAAATACCAATTTGTGGTAAAGTGTTTAAATTCTTGTCTGGTCCTCCTAAATACAAATCTGAAGTCCTCGGTTTAAATTCTTGTCTGGTCCCAATAAAGACCAATTTGAGGTCCAGGGTTTATATCCTTGTCTGGTCCCGCTAAATACCAATCTGAAGTCCAAGGTTTCAATTCTTTCTGATCCCACTTAATACCAATCTGAGGTCCAGGGTTTAAATTATTGTCTAGTCCCACTAAATACCAATCTGAGGTCCAGGGTTTAGATTCTTGTCTGGTCCCACTAAATACCAAATTGTGGTAAAGGGTTTAAATTCTTGTCTGGTCCCACTAGATACCAATCTGAGGTCCAGGGTTTGAATTCTTTCTGGTCCCACTAAATACCAATCTGAGGTCCAGGGTTTAAATTATTGTCTAGTCCCACTAAATACCAATTTGTGGTACAGGGTTTTAATTCTTGTCTGGTCCAACTAAATACCAATCTGAGGTCCTGGGTTTAAATTCTTGTTTGGTCCCACTTAATACCAATTTGTGGTACAGGGTTTAAATTCTTGTCTGGTCCAACTAAATACCAATCTGAGGTCCAGGTTTTAAATTCCTGTCTGGTCCCACTTAATACCAATTTGTGGTACAGGGTTTAAATTCTTGTCTGGTCCCACTAAATACCAATCTGAGGTCCATGGTTTAAATTCTTTCAGGTCCCACTAAATACCAATCTGAGGTCCAGGGTTTAAAATATTGTCTGGTCCCACTAAATACCAATCTGAGGTCCAGGGTTTAAATTATTGTCTGGTCCCACTAAATACCAATCTGAGGTCCATGGTTTAAATTCTTTCATGTCCCACTAAATACCAATCTGAGGTCCATGGTTTAAATTCTTTCATGTCCCACTAAATACCAATCTGAGGTCCATGGTTTAAATTCTTTCAGGTCCCACTAAATACCAATCTGAGGTCCATGGTTTAAATTCTTTCATGTCCCACTAAATACCAATCTGAGGTCCAGGGTTTAAAATATTGTCTGGGCCCACTCAATACCAATCTGAGGTCCAGAGTATAAATTATAGTCTGGTCCCACTCAATACCAATCTGAGGTTCAGGGTATAAACTATAGTCTGGTCCCACAAAATGTTAAACTCAGATTACTGTTCTTCATTGTATTCTGCTTGTTTCATCTTTATTATGTTTCATCAAAGTCCAGTCAGGTTAAGTTTTCTTTTCAGAAACAATTTATTAAGAAGTAGTCATGCATAGTTACAGCTTTTGGTAGAGGAACGGATTATCCTTAAAGTTTAATTTGGAAGCGGTGCTGTATGTACATTTGTAGTCTGACAAAAATAAGACTTTCCTAGTCACGTATCATAACACAACAACCCGCCGTATGGGGTGTAGAGAGGCACGCGTCTGGCCATTACATGGTGAAACGGCCACACATTTCGACAGAACGTAGTAGATTAGGACTAAACCAGTTGTGTCTAGTTTATTTGACTCTTTTAAACAGCATAAGCATGTGTAGGCGTGCTTGGCAATGAATCCTTTCCATTGATCGCTAGTGGTCGACCCTGATAGTAATCAAAATAAGGTGTTCATCGTAATGAGTATATTCAGTTTAAGTGAGAAATCAGGAGTGTCAAGGGGATGATCTAGTCACGTGTTAAAACTGCTATTAATAGTCAAGCAGACCATGTGTAGGTATATATTAACACTCACCTGTATGACCATTGCCCACATAATTAATATCTATAGGGCCATCAATGAATGAGATTGATGTTATATTTATGCTTCAAATAACGCATCGCAAATGTTAGGGCCTATCATAACTGACTTAACAATATACATGTAAATACATGTTCATGTATACTTACAATGTTACCGACTAGCGTTCCTACAGCCTTAACGATTAAAATAAACGTCGTTCAATCGCAATATCGATATTGAGAACAATAAAGTTAGAATGGAGATGTGAACTACTCTATCAATATTACCTTCATGATAACACATTTTATTCTGAAGACGCAATACATTTTCATAATTGCCTTCATCAAATACATCAAATATTCGAAAATACGAATCACTATATGATTATCTGTCGGCTGTAAAAGAAGTTCTGAAACAGATGTCTTTAAATCCAATTTGTCATCATACATTATTAGAAAACTATGATTTACCCCTTAGTCAAATTATATCCAATTACATAAATGTGCAATTGTACGCTAATTCCATGCATTTTTGATTGAAAATAAGCATTTTTCATCACATCAGTTATTTGCACCAATCCTATTACAACCCATTTTACAACTCACCTGTTTTCTGTGAGGGCCAAACTAGTAATTCCAATCTAATGAAAACTTTCTACCCTACACATATACCTATACCTTTGCTTACATTATAACTCATCTATTTTCTGGAAGAGCCAATACTAGTCATTCCAATCTAAAAAAATAGAAGAGTGATCTGCCCTTGAACTAAGGTAAAGGGTCGATTTTTGCTCTGCCAGGAAATCGTTTTACTTGTCAAAAACAGGGATTAACATATCCAGTTTAACCATCCTACAATTGTGTTTATACAGCGTATGTTGAAGAACGCCAAAAATGAGATAGAGGAAGTAACAAGAGGTGAGGAAAAAGAGAATGGATATGTATCTATACCTTTGCTTAAAGTCTCAACAATAGTAGAGTAGTAGTAAGGTGTTGGGAACATCGTTGTTTGTCACTAATCCGGAAGATGAAACATCTGTTGTTCACTTACAGAAGAACTTGGATATCTTAAAAAGTAGTGATTTCCTAAAGTTGAATATTGATGACTGAATTAAAGGTATGTCTTTTTATTTGAACACATGTTTCTCTGTTTATTGGCAGTTTGGCATCCATTCTCCTATATTTCCATAAACACTTGATATATGATTATCTGGTAGAATTGAAATATATATAATCCTTACTCCATTTGAAGAATTTTTATTATTCTAGCATGTATTGCTGCATTGTGCAGAGTTAAAACATGACACAATATGTACAGTAGATTCATATTACAATGTTAATACTAGAAATGTTATACATTTTTGTAGTTGCATAAGACCTGCGATACATTATTTTTCGTAAACTTATGGCACAAGATTTCGTATAAAACCTACAGGTAGATAGTGAAGTGTTTCCAATAATTATAACAGCAATAACTGGACATTAGGATCATAAGCTTGACACATTCATCTAAAGCGTTGTGACAAACGTATTCTCTGAAATAACAGACGTCGCCAAAATGAACACACATCTATTTATAATTTTTAATGTTTATCATTAATTTGGGTCAATTTTGATTTTGATACCACCCCTGAAATCGTCAAGTCTTTATGTCACTCTGTTAAAACGAAAGGGAAAATATGGGAAATGCCCCATTACCCCTTCCACAATTGATGGAAATCGAAGACAGATGAATCTCAAGTGCTTATCGGACGGAGTAATCGGGTATATACTTGTATTTGTATTTGTGGCAATCGACCGGCTTGTATGTATGCGGTTTGTGACAATGCTACCGTGTATATAGGACAGGTATCGTTGAACTGTATAAGCATTATAGTGATATCTGTTGTATGTTGTGGACTGCTCAGTCTCCAGACATACATATTATTGGAATTTTTTGGCACACAATTAAGAGGACGATCCTGAACCATGAATAAATGACCCCCCAAATCAGCTGATCTAAGTCATACACAACATAAATATGTCACGGTGTACAATAAAATATATTCCAAATATACAAAAACCAATTTCAAGACTATCATAGAATGTATTCAATCCAAATGGCACCATTTTAAGTATTTAATGTAAGTTAGCATGCTTGTTTTTGCTAGTCGCAAGCGCGACAAATCTTAAATTGCACCCGCCATTTTCTGCGAATATTTTTGTGCACGACACTGTAGTAACAAGGCCATATGAGATTGTTTACAAATTGAAAAGAACAATTGTCACGCGTAACTGAAGGATGTTTAAATAGCATACATCTCCATAAACAATACTCAGGTAAATGTATAATGTCCTTCCCCTAACCCTCAAACCAGTTATAACTGGTCAGTTCTTGTTCAAGCTAACACAATGCAATAAAATAACCACCACTGAGAGTGTATTTAATGATATTATGTAAAGAAGCTACAGTATAAAATGATCGACACATGCTCGGTTTGGTTTATTTTAGAGTTATATTTCTTTTGTTCGTTCCTTGCCTTCACAGTCAACGTTCCACGTCATCAGAAGAAACCAGAGTATGTATACAGTTAGTTTTACAAGAATGTCAACGGTTTAATGTCTTATAGTGTGACATTTTCTGTCACCACTTAACGTTTGTGGCAAGATAATTAGATTGACTCAAGTCAATATCACGTTAATTGTGTGAGATAAATAAGTCTATTTATCACGAAAGCTAAATGGTTTGGCATGTTAAATATCACTTAGAAAAGAGATAACAATGTTTTCCCTTTTCGCAAATATGAAGAGAAACTACGCAATACTGACAATGTTTATTGGGCGTCCTAGATTTAAAATATCCAGCAGCACTAATCTCATTACACTAACATGCGGTCTAACGCAAGGTTACGAAAAGGTAGTATTACAGGGTCAAAAAGTTGGATTTCTGCGTCAAAATATTTGAAATGAATTCGACATTTTTATCAGGTGGTGGCAGACGTAAGTGTATATAACCATTAAGTTAGCACTTTCCTGTGCTTTCCATTAAGTCTCTCTTTATATGCATACATATTATATTTTTGTATCTGCAAAACATTTTCACATGATGATTTCAAAGAAAGTCTACGGTTTTCAGAATTTAAAACAACCATAATGAACGAGTTGAAGCCATTACTGCGCGTGAAGCCGAGGACGTACGCCCGCCGCTGGTGGGTCCTCATCTACGTCAGTTTAGCATATATATTTATCACGCTCGGCTGGAATTCTTGGGGCCCGATAAGTCAGTCGGTTGAGTATGGTTTCGGCTGGGACGACTCCATCATAGCAGACATCTTGAATGTTGGAAAAATTGGAGTAATCGGCAGTATCATCCCGCTGAGTTACTTAGTGGATACGAAAGGTAAAACATTTCTATATTACTTCATTATTGATTTATTGATAATGTCATCAAGGAGATGAATCATTGCTTCCTACTATGTGACCTTAGTTTGCCCCTCTTTATTCACTTATATTTATTATACCTTACGTTTACATTGCAATCAATGTTGGTTTGAACAAATATGCTTCTGGTAAACTGTACCTCGCCATTCTATTTCTATTTTACATTACACATACAAACATTATACAATGGTGACGTTACAGGTTTTATAACTTATTATTTGGTATATTTCGCCTTCACTTCATTTCATTTAGCTAGAAACGCATGGGAACTATATAACACTTAGAAACCATTATGAGGTGTCCTAATTGAAATAAGTCCAGGACATTTAAATTTAAATCATTTTAAAATCGAGATCGGTGTTTAAGATACAATAGATATTCAAATGTGTACAATAAGTTTTGATTTTGTGATAATAAAACTTGATTGAAACGAAATTAAAGGTTCTTAAGTTCCGAACACAATTAACAATGATATTTGCTGTTGATAGGAATTCGTCTAGTTATGATAGTCAGCACCACTCTTACACTGATGGGATATGTGATACGCTGTTTTATTGACCAGTCAACTTCAACGTGGTACGTACTTCGTAAAACAAAATAACATATAACTACTTCTGTGTATCATTATAAACGATTTATCAATTGATAAGTAAATTCTTTCCAACTGTTTTTTTTTATCGAAAAATAGATTGAGACTTGTGCCGTTGTGTTGTTAATTGTATAATCCATTTGCATCTACAAAAACAGGAGATATAGCTTTTGTCTTGTATAGTTGATTTTAAATATATCTATTTAGATAATTTTATATATAAATTTTGTAATGAATGAATGACTTCTTAGGCTAGCGCTGCTGGGACAGTTTGTTATCGGAAGTGGAATGGGAATCACATTTGGAGGGCCAGCCGCCATGTCCGTTGCATGGTTCCCGCCGAAAGAGCGTACCTCAGCCACATCTATTGCAGTCATGAGTACATATCTTGGCTATGGGATCGCCTATGTCATCCGTACGTATCAGATCACTCTACCTGAAAACGTAATGGTTACATTCCTTTATTGTTCGTCTATGTAATTAATTACGTTCGCAGAACTGGATCTTGCAGTAGTGCCTAAACAATGATTGAATCCAGGAACTTAAACGAGGTATAGTGTTTTCCATGTGTAATATGTCTTTTGTCGTTATATTCTTTCATGTTATGAACTAAAAAATATATTTAAAGATAATACAATATACATAATATCACAAAAGTTATTTCTAATGTATTTGTTGAAGTTACAGTACCATAGTGCGCTTTTCTTAGCTTATCATAATTATAATAAATTCATAAATAATGACGCTGTATTATTGTAATTCACAACTTTTAGCAATTCTTAGAATAACCTTATTTAACATCTTTAAATCTTTCTCATAGATCCTCTGTTCGTGTCAACGCCCGTATTTGGTGCAGAGATGTTCTCGCATCGAAATCAAAAGTAAGTCATCCTTATTTGCAGCTGCATTCGATACTGCTTTCTGCTGACATTGAAATAAAATCGAAACAAAATCAATTATGTAAATATTTGAAACCTTTTTGTAATTCATAATGACGAAAAATGCCAGCTAAAAGCAGCTCAATGATTATAGGTTTTACTTTGCTTTGATATGATGTACGTGTGTGGTACCCCTTAAAATACTAAAATAATCACATCAGAGAAATAAATCAAAAAATAAAAACATAACCAATTCCTCATCTTGATTGAACTCCTTAAAAAACATTGTCTTTGTGTTGAACTCTACCTCTTGTTAGAAGGTGCAACTGGCGAAGCTACATTAGTTACGTGTACAAGTCAGAGTAAATGTACTGGTAGCATGATGATATATAACAATAAACATTCTAAAGTGAACAAAATAAACGTGCATCGAAATCATCGTCCCGCCCGTGAATGTTACGTTACACAAGATATCCTATGATTATTATGTTTACATTTAAATAAAGTGTAAATATATATTTACAATTTTAAAAAGTAAGTGCTTCAATTGTTACCCTTCGACCTATATTTCATATTGATCTCGCCGCCATACTGGCACATACCATATCTCGTTCAAGTTTAAAGCTTACAATACTAATCAAGGTCAATATTTTAAGAAACTTCCATGTGTGATTTCATACTATTTAATTAAGTATTATAAATGATATTACATTTTCGAGTCTACGGGCTATGAATGAACATTGTGATAATGTAAACTAATTCCACTTATTTTTTGGTGAGGAAAAACAATTCTTCAACTACTATTACTGAATCGTATAAACAACATAAAACGGCATTATGACAGTCAGAACTGGCCAATCTAATCACCCATTCTGAAATTGTCAGTTAAAGTCAATAATATTCGTCTAACTGATTTGAGGATTCACGAACCATTTCTGTTCTTGTACTACTCATACGTTAAACTTTTACCAATGATTTATATAAGTATCTAAAATTATTTTATAGACAGTTTTATGATTATCTGAATTACAGTGAACTCGCGAACTATACCGATCATGACCTTAGTCTTGCCGCTAACTCGACCAATGTTAGTACGGCTAATGTTGGTATGTATGGTAAAGGATTGGAAATGCTTTCATTTATTGTATATTGTGATTATTCTTGGAGTGTAAGGACAGATTGTGTGTTTATTTACGAAGAGTATGCATTTGCTATTTACAACGACCCAAAGCTTATTATTGAACATGTAAAACGTTTACCTCGAACTTATTCATTTTCAATTCGTTTTAATAGTCAATCTATGAAACGGCGTTAACAAGCTTGCACATAAAGTAAAGTGACCTCGAAGGTCCTACGTCGTTAAATCAAAACTGACAGAGATACCACCTCTATTGCGCTTCTTATGTTCATATCAAAACAATAGAATACCACCCGTTATTTGAGCCCACTTTATGGATGTCCCAATTAAAAGTGTTAACTGTTCCTAGTTGCTTTCCTTAAATAATGATCATTATGCATAATATATATTTGTATCTGTGTTGATTATTTATTTACTTTCCAAGTTGCCTATCACGATTTAGTTGTAGTATTATTAAGGAATTTTGTAGATGTTTGTTTATGTTAACGCCGAAGCTACATGAGTGATCAGTATCATTAACCACTAATCTCTTGTTCATATAGATTTTTTGCATGACATGAATTCACATTAATCTTGAACTTTTTTTTCAAAGATGTTCCTTTCTTTATGTTAAAACAAAATGTATTTTTGATAACTTTCATAATTGTATATTTCTACATGCTTTCTCATTTCAGTTTTGAACAAAGATATCATAAAGGAGGAAACAATGACACTGATATACATAGGTAGGCATGTTGTTGATGAACTCACGTTTTAACGTCAGCAATACATCTTATGTCAAAGTGCAATAGGCTGAAAATGGCGTTTTGACAGTTTTCATAGCGGTACGAAAGCCAGTGATTTATCAGATTCGCGTATTTGGTAGGAATTAAAAATCATATGATCTATGGATATGTAAATGGTTGCTGCTTGTTTACAGAGACGGTGATTGCAGCTGCATTTGTGGTAGTAACCGTGGCTCTAGTCCCACAAGCGCCGCCTACGCCACCTTCAAATAGTGCCAACGCAATCAGGATGGGATACACCAAAGTATTGTTACACGTCATAAGGTACGTTTGTACAAGAAAATCAGTTGTTTAGATATTGTATGGTAACTAATATTCTAACTGTAGAAAACTATTGGCAGACTCTTGAATCAATCACCGACCTATATGTTGTCCTCGTGTTGAAGGAATTATATATATTATTTCCATTTGTTCATTCTTATTTGTTTTATTCTTTGTTGTTTCGTAAACTGAATTTCACATCTCTAATGACAACTTTGTATATTATCATTTTCAATAAGTTGCCTATGAATACCTTATCTGCATTTCCACGTCAATGTAAATTAAAAGGAACAAACAAAACGTAACAACTATTAGGAAACATTTATCATGAATGCATGGCATTTCCTTTAGCTGTACTTGTATTGCAAGTATTGACAATTATCTATTAGTTATATAACAGCCACAAACGCTTCTGATAATATGGCTGTTAAATGAAATATTTCAAAACAAATTCCGGTTAATTATTGTTGTTTTCTGTTTCATTTTCATTAAGGAATGGATTCCTGTGTCTGCTCCTCCTTTTCACTGGGGTGTTGGTAGGCATGTATTCCACGTGGATTTCCATATTTGAAATAACGTTCGGTCACCTCGGTGTCTCCCAGGTAACACACCTATAATTTAAAGTTATTTATATTAATATTAGAATATATGGTCTCTTTCAAAACTGACAGTAACGAATTTGATGTCGATTTTACCATCAGGTTTTTCGTATCTTTTATTTCTTTAGATTTTCTTATCATTTAATGAATATTTTGTTTTGCAAACTGCCTTTACACGATCAAATCAGTAAACATTTGGTCTAAAAAATAACAAAATAACAACATTTGACGTGAATGTGGCCTAGCTTTGAGAAGGAATGTTGACTTGCCAATACCTGTTTATATTATAAGCATTAAAGTATAGTGTTCAATAGTTAATAGAAGGCATCGGCTATTGCTTATGTGTACGTTATCGATTGGTTGAACAGTATATATGTTTATTTTAAAAGCGATAAGTACTTTCAAAAATGGAGTTTCTTTCTCGGCAATCCAAAAGAGTCTTGGCCATCATTGTAAAACAATGCAATATGTGTATGGCGAAATGATGCATATATTACCTGCAACATACATGATGCAGACCAAATGTTACCAATTATAAAGCCAGGGCAATAATCAGTCAAGCGTGACATTGACAATAATGGTCTTCAAAGGAAACATTTATATCGTTACACAGCCGATCCGCCGTTTATAGATGTTGTTGACGACAGAATACAATAGTTTGACAAAATAGCATAACACGAGCATGTGACAAATATATCCAATTGAAGGAAGATTTGCAAACATACTACTAGATTCGTCGAAACATTCAGATTTGATACAAAATAGAAATAAATAAACTTGTCATAAGTAAACGTGTTCGCTTTTAAATTTTGAATATTTCAAACAATATGAACAACTTACTTCTTATCAATTAATTTTCAATATGAATCAAGCATTAAAAACAACATTTTACATATGCATTCTCTCTTTTCAAAGGCATGACTATATTTTGAGTGTCCAGTATTGTAAATTGTACGTTCATGTTGTGTTAGTTTTGAGACAAATTCATTCAACTGTGATGTTCTATGCCTACTCCATTCATTTCCCAAAACGAGCGGCCCAAGCATTATGTCAACTTTGTTTTTTGAAGCAAATCTGTATGATTGTACGTCGAGACTATTTTACTTGTGTACCATAACAAGAGCTTGTTTTAACATAAGATTTTAAACACCAGTCAATGTAAAAAAAAAACACCAGTTGAATGTCCACACGATGATATTGATTTAATAATTTATCAACAGAAAGAAGCTGGGTGGCTCGGGTTCGCTAGCCTCATAGCAAGCAGTGTTGTTGGATTTACATGTGCACGGTAAGATTTCCCTCCGCCTGTGTATCTTTTGAGTATAGTTAAACACAACATTAAACGTAACTTCAACAGAACTTTATTGTAATAACTTGAAATGTTCTGCCTCCTCTCCAACGGTAAAACAAAATAATAGGTGTATTTATGTACATTTAAGTCCACCTTTTTGCTATTAGACGTGTGTAAGTTGTTAGTCCTAAGATGCTTTATAAAATGATGATAATTATTAATGTACTGTTTGAGCAACTCTCAGTTTTATGTTGTTCGTCTTATGCATATTTCGCAAATAGATGTGAAATTAAATTTTGGCTTTTAAACGCATACTATATCCTTACAGGTTTTCTGACGTCTGCGCTCGGAAGTTGAAGACAATTCTGATGGTGATGTTGGTTATTTCAAGTTTGATGTTCCTGTGGGTTTCCTTGTTGTGTAGCCAGTATATCGAATATAGTAGAGGTACGGTGATACGGGACACGTGACGTTCCTCATTATAAATGAATCCAAACGGCAATTGTGCATCACAAAAAGGAAAAGGAAATTTAGTTAATTTTCTGTGGTTTAAGTAAATGATTTGAAAAACAGTTTTATGGTACTAGCCTTCACGAAAATATTTAGATCGTTTCCATATTATGGTACTTAATATAGTTCATGTATTTATATTCAGGTACTAGCACAAAGGTATAAGGGATTATTTTTGTTGATTCTACCAATTTTACCATATATTCCGTGACCGGATATGAAGAAACAATTTTGTAAACGTAACATCTGTGTTAACATCAGCAACGATTGTTTTAAAACCTGTTTATTATCGTAGTAAATACATTGAGGCAGAATGACTTTATATTAATGATAATGTTATAAATATTTCCAAACTTCTAAGAGTAAATGTTTATGCACCAATCAGGCTTATTAAAAATCATGAATTAGAAATACCGAACATTTATTTTACAGAACAACTGTACGTGTCGACTATGCTCGGCTGTGCTTTCCTTAACGGCTGTGTGCCATTACTGTATGAACAGATATGCAACGCCGCCTTCCCTATCCCAGAAGGAATCATTGTTGGAATATCTGCCCTTGTAGCAACACTTGCCGGCATTTTGTATATCTTACCACTCTCCCTGATCGAATTTGAAGGTGAATTAAAGTTTCCTTTCAGAACAAGACTCTTAAATGCAATCAATTTCAGCTAACTGTTTCTTTTGCATTGCTTGCATTAAGTAATCAACTCTCTGGAGAAGGACTTTTATTCTCAAGACACTAATAAACGCTATTATTTTTTACTGAAGCAGTTGCATAGCTTTGAAATTTAACTTATACCGAATTGATTCATTATGTTTTGTGTGATTTACTGCTTTCCTTCACAGTAAGTGCTAATTTATGATACATCATTGTTATGCTTTTTGTTATTTACATAGGATAAAGCTATTTTAAAGAGATTCCTTTGTCATATTCACATACCACCATACAAGCAATAACACCAAATTTATATAATATTAATGAAATTTAGTTTTTAGCATCATTATACTGATTTAAATGTTAAATTTGAATCAACGTTTTTCTTCTTTGATTTTGTTACAATATTCATGTTTTTTTTTATTTTAGATAATTCGTGGCTGGAATGGTCATTACTAGTGTTATGTGTGGTCGGGTGTATTGTCATACTAATCACCCCTCAGAGGAACGGACGGGCAGACCTTGACGTGTCGGTCCGTGTCACTAAGTTCGCTCATTATGAAAGACTCGGAACAGATCAGCCAGACTTACATGTGTCACAGAACCAAGTTCCAGAAAACGCTTGATATCTTGTATGGTATACGACAGACGATTTCTAAGTGACAAAATAAGTAACAACGTTTAGGAGCAAGCCTTCTAATGAGAGCCAGTTACAATTTTGTGAAGCAATTAATTTTTGAACTGAAAATAAGAAGAATATGAACTGCTGATTGTGAATCAGGAATACATCGAACTCCGCTCTGTATAATATTTCGGGCTGTTTTGAAATCTAGTTATATCAACTTCTCGTTTTTTATCGTTCCTTTATGCGTAATTTGTTATTACAGGATCTGTTGCACACTACATGTATATATACTTTTACGTATTGTCTTGTACATCTCTGCAGGAAATGTATTAACCTTTATTTTTATTTATGTTAACTCATTTTATCTCTCCATCACATCTCAAATATATGTATTACATGATTCTATTTTGAAATGGTTTGTACAAATGGATATAAAAGAATGTTCTTTACATGTATATTGTTATGTTAATAATTTCTTATCTATAAATAGATTAACAAATGTATCAACTATTTATAGTTATCTTCCTTTTTTATTTGTGTTTGGAAAGTTATACATGCACACCATCGTGAATCTTACACATTGTGTCAATAATTACCATATTTAACCTGTTCGAATAGGGGGTGCGCGTTTATGTCTTTTCCGACTAACCATATATCATAAACTGTCTGACTACACAAAGCAGTAGTCCGTTGTCATAGGTTTGTGTATGTAGTCCACAGAACAGTATTAACGTTAAATTTCAATCCGCAACTAATAATGAAGTTTATGAATAAACTAATTCCGCAAAATTATGTATGAAAAATCAAGGTGAAGGGGGAAACACAATCTGCAAGTTTGAGCACTAATGACAACTAAAAATGCTTCGACATTTTGAAGTGATATTATGTTTGCCATTGCATGGACATTTGACACAATAATTTGAAACAAACTTGGTTTAATCAGTTATGATTGCAATGTCCTTAAGTTGAAACCTTTTCTAGAAAATGGATGTTCCATTTGTATAACAAGCAATTACGATGTTTGAACTATTTAATAACATCGCTTACGCTTATGTGTTGTGTCCCCTATCCTTATACGACCTCAAATACAGCAACTGGTATGTTGACGCCCGTCTTTGCGACACAAAAGAATAACAATGCTATTCAGAGCAATTTTGTATTCATTTTATAGGGTTTAGAGCTCTATTTATGCATTACTTTAATGATTTATCAGCAAGAAATAAATCGAACTCTATTTGAAATGTCAATGACTTCAATGCCGTAGTTGTATTATAATTATTGATGTTTACAAACACGGGTGTTCATCATCATAGGCCAAAAAGCTTCTCTATCGTATTATGATGTACAATTTATTTATTTTATGATGGTGTAGAAATGATTAAATCCTTAGGTAGAGAGACAATGGTACATATCGTACATCTAAAACTTCAAATCATATATAATTACAAAAGCTCAGCCACTAACGAAAATGTCAAAGCCGACTTAAGCAAACTTGTATACAGATATGTTAAAACCAACACCAGGCTATCTATATGGCAAACCTTCGCGTTGGTATTATAATTTAGATAAGCGTTTTTAAAAAAGGTTTTTGAATAAAGGGTAAAATATACGATTATATTCAATATTTTAGCTCCTGAACTTGGCATTCCATGTTATGCAATCGCACACTTATCTTGTTAAATCAAATGTGAATGTCCACACATGATGTTTGTTGAATTACCCTTACAACCCCGTCGTGGTATCCAAATATATTTCTATAAGGCACAATGTACAATAACCAGAAATATGTTTTCATGGCAAATAATGACAATATATATCTTTTTGAAATTACACATTCGTATATACAATTATGCAGAAATCCTTTACAAGTAACTACTACGTAATTTACGAGCTTATTCCATCAGTGTTTCGTTTTTAAATAAAGGATTATATTTAAAGCATTAGAATCAACATTTGGCAAATAACCACTAACGTGTTGTTTTACGTACATTTATTAAAAACGGAGAAATGAACTGAAAAATATATTATACTTGTAAAACACCTTTTCATTTTAACGGTTTGACTGTTATGTGGTTGGTAAGGCTCATAAAACGCTGGTCAGTTTTCAGTGTAACAATATACAATGACTTCGAACATGTTGTGACGCTTATGCAAAATCATCGACAATAAAAAATGTGAGTTATTCTGTAAAAACATATTAATGTAAAACAAAAACAAAAAGAATAATTTACGACTGCAAATAAATTAAATGAATATGGAAAAATGGGCGTAACAACAACAAACGACGGTAACATAGCTACTCCAATCGTCACTTACTTTTAACTGGAATTGAAGATGATGATGTCAATCTCGTTATCAACACAGAATAAAAAATTCGAAGACTAAGTGTGACTTTTGCTGGCTACCTCAAAAATATGAATGGAATTTTCCTGCAATTTTGACAGAGGGTCCTGACCATGCCTTTTTGAACCTGAAATAAAGAACATTACTGACTCTTCTACATCAGTTTCTTACCACGATCTTTGTTTATAATATACCATTGAGGATTGCCTACTGCAAAGGTTTACGTGCGCCGACCAAGCCTGTAACGAAGACCCACGTACAAATCAGTCTCATCGTTTCCGTTTGGACTCCCTTGATATCCTTTCGGACCTCACCTGGACGTTTGTACAGAACTATCCTGGTGAGCTGCCATGTCATGTTGTAGAACTACAATATTGGCAACGAGGATTTGTTTTATTTTTGCCAGAGGGGTGAGCATGTGTTCGTAAATTGAGGCCAATTTTATGTTGTACGCACCTCATTGAGCTGAGTTTTTTGCTCAAAATTGGTTATACTTGTTACATATCGATAGTACCATCATTTTTATATTAAATTATGTTTTCTGGGGAGTAAAAACAAAAATGGAACCAAACGAACTGGTTTCGGGAATCGTTTTTGTGGTGGTGCACCTTTTCACAGCGAAGCTACGTTGTGACGCCATTTTTTTCAATGTCATTTGGGTATTGCCGGAAGTAGGTTAACATGATTGTTTACATCCAGTATACTTGCACTCATACATTTATGCTTGTACATTTAGCTGTATATTACACAGTCAATCCACGTGTCAATATTTGGATTATATCGGCTTATATCAATGTGCTATAAGGTTGTTAGCATGCATTTTCCATAAAATGGGCTAGCTGTAAGGTTTTCAGCGGGGATATGCATCATGTTTTATGATGTAACATCTGGTGAGATTAACAAATGTTGATGAAGTATTGCATCATTGGAATGTATTTGACATTCACATTTGTAGAGGCATACATAAGTTGATTATTTATTTATTTATTTATTTGAGTACTGCAATTTATTGAGGTGTATACATTTCATATAATTACTATACTTATCATTGTGGAATACCATAATGATTTGTTAATGTTTACAGATTTCACTACTTGTACTTTTATGAATTTCATCATATTACTGTCAAAACATTGCAATATAATAGTTAAAGTTATTGAGGTTTATAAATGTCATCCTTATAGTATAATATTGTATGTGTACTTAATTCTAAACGTTGTATGTTTATGCGTCTGATGGCAGAGGGGTAATGCAGAAGATTGTCCATAACACATACAGATTATTCTTAAACTGATGTACAGTTTTTAAACCCTATTCAATCTCTTCAACAACAACATCGTGGCAAGTGAATTGATTATTGGTGATACATCTTAAACCAGATGAGGACAAAGGTGAAACTCTTCTGCTTTGTCCACGACACCTTTTTTGTTAATCTTGGTCAAAACCATGTTGTGACGTCATAATCTCAAGTTGATGACCGGGGTGTAGTGACAACAAAACCAAGGGAGACACTTCAGCATAATAAAAGAGTGTCTGTCATTATTGATCTATGATTATATTCATAATTGTGACCTAATAGTCAGTAACCTGCATTTTTCGGAACCTTTGACGTATATTTTTCAATTACCTAACATTTGACCTTAACGCGTGTTTTAAAGAAAATAAACTTCCTTTTTCTACTTTTAATTGATCATCGATATAGATAGATATGGGAAACAGCATTAAGTAAGAGACCTCTTATATGTAGAATGTTTTGTCCGGCATTGTGATTGCACGTTGCTTGTTTACAATGTTCAAATTAATGTAAAATCTTCATTCTATTCTACAGAGACCTACCCACAGTTAAATTTCGATCCTTTGTTGGAGTAACCATGGGCGGGGAGAACCTACTACTCGAGTCGACAAGTCGGACCTACCGCGCGCGTTGTCTTCATTCCATTTCATGCACCAGAATATCGGCCTCAACACGTGGGGACCAATAGCCCAGTCTGCCAAAGGAGCCTATGACTGGGAAGATACAACTATAGTGTTTATCCTCAACATGGGTCGATTGGGAAGCATCATCTACATCTGTATCGTATCATATATACTAGACAAAGCAGGTACGTCAGCTAATTCATATTCGTAAAACATCGTTTCATTTACGGGAAAGTGACAAGTATAGTGATAAAATACAAAAAGTAATGTCTGTTTAATGATTACAATACAATGACAGAACATTTACATGAGGCATTAATTGTATTTTATACATTTATTTAACGTATGGGATAGTTAGGACAATGCAATATGGCCCTAAATGTGTTAACAAAACATTAATTCGAGATAAAAATGATAAAACTAGGGCAAACCATAAAGATAGCAATGATTCACATAGATACCATTGAAAAAGAACAAGGAAAATTAAACCAAGTGTTCCGGAAGGAGTGTCTTATGCTTCACCGACAACACCCGTTATGTAAATCTAAGTCAAATCCTAGAAATGGTACGTCATCCCATCGAAAACTCTGGTAGTAACAACAACACATGGCATACATGTACCTAATGAGAATACTCAAAAACATCGACCTTCATATTAAAACAAGAAATAGCATATTTCATTATGAGTTCATGAAGGCGAACATAATACGTGTCCTTGGTCTTCGTAAAGGACAACAAAATGCGTCTGTTAGCAACGTTTGGGCTTTTTCTTACATCTCTCCTGGCTCTCAAAAAGAAGAGGGATTATGAATTGTTTATAAAATATCAAATTTATGAATAGATATTAATTTTGTTTCAGGATTAGGCGTTGCCATGATAACATATTCCTCCAATATGTTAATTCGTAACGAAAAGCGGTCACTAAGCAAGAACAAGGAGGTCTCGTTCATGTAAGTATGCTGATTGCAATAGCTAATTAAAAGTATTGATCGCCCTCTTGACTCTATGATGCCAATACTGTTATATCATTTTAGTTTCGCAAACGCATACCATTTTTACACATTATTTTCTCTCTGTTACACAAGCGCTACAATGTCCTGTCCAGATAAACATCATTTGAATTCATCAAGGGATATGCATTCCCCTTTATTTGTTAATGAATCACATCTGTTTTATCCTAATACATCGATACATTCAATGTTTGATAAGCCATCACATCGGAAAAGTTACCTTATAATTTTGGGAGTATCGAGTATGTCTTACAAACGAGGTTCTTGTAACAACTACCTTCCAGCTCTCTCCCCA